CGTAAATTTGAAAGTATTTCTCTTGAGTGTAAGACAAGTCGGCTTATCCCATGATATAGCTCGACTTATTTCACGATGACTTTGATAAGGATATCAAATCGAGTTATCTCTCTGATTTATTTTTCCAGCAGGAAGATTCGAGTTAACTCATGAGACAAATCAACTTATCTCATGTGATAGCTTGAAATCGCTATACTAAACAAATATCTTAGTGAAGTGAAACCACTGAGCCCATGTAACAAGTGGAACCTTTGAATTTAATACGATAAGCCTAATATTTGAACAAAGTGTAATAAAAAGATAAGTAATAACAGAGAATTGTATTTTTCAAAGATTCAGTCTTTATTTGCGACTACATTTTTTGAACAAAATCCATTCGCTATCATATCATTTCGTGTGCCTCTATAATGGAATCCATATGTTCCCTTAAACGGTGCCCACAAATACTCTTCAATTATACTTTTCAGAGCAATTCTTTCTTTCGATAAACAATGAAACGGTATAAAATCAGTACTCCTTACAAGTAGCGATATGACATTCATTTCTTTCTCTTTTCTTTCAAACAAAAGTATCCTACTACAACCGTTCGTCACCTGCAAAAATGATTCAAAATATTTTTTTTTCGTATTTGTTAGCTTTGTCTGCACCGTGATTTCTTCTTTCTCTGGTAAAAGATTTTTTATGATGAATTTCTTTTTCGTTTGACACACTTCTTTTAATGATGAAATGTTCTTTTATGGTGAATGTGTTTTTTTTCAGTGAACTGTTTTGGACTATTTCTCACCAATAAATGAGGCTGTTGTTGCGTTCGAGTCTTTAGCGTCAAGTGAGCTTCAACGCTTGTATCCTGAGAAATCTTTTGGCTGTGCGTGTGGGTGTAGGGTGTGGATGTGGGTGTGGGTGAGTGTGGGTATGGCTGTGAGTGAGTGTGAGTGTGGGGCACGGGTATGTGGTTGGGTGTGGGGGTATGCGGATGTGGATGGATGAGTATGGATCTGAGGCGTAAGTATGTGGGTGTGTGGGTTTGAGTGTATGGATGTGAGTTCTTTCTTCCATTCCCACCCACACCCACACCCATACCTACACCCACACCGTATATGATGAGCATTGGTAACTAAACCACCATCAGGTCCAACACGGCAGCACAACTTAAATCTAAACGTTCTTTTATATTTGTTGAAATAACAGTTTATTTAAGAACACGATATAATAAACATATATCGTTACCGATCAGATTGTTCTGCAATATTCATAAAACGATTTTGAAACATTGATTATCTAATTAGATCAAGTTCAGTTAAATCAATATGTTTTATATCTAAAAGAATATGATCACAATCTCTCACTGTAGATTGACAATTTGGTTCAACAACAATTCTACTATAATTAACAATTGAAATGATATGTTTCTGTTTCAAGATAATATTTACATATAAAAAAAAAAGAATATTTATCAACTAGGATCAATAATCATTGATGGACCTGATATATGATCATTATCATATTATTCTTCAATAAGATAAACAGCTCTTTCAACAAAACCTTGTTCGAAATAACATTTTACTTTCTAAAAAAAAAAAGAAATGTTCGAAAATCTTGAAAAAAAAATGCCATCGAAGAAGATAATCACTCTTGATTTAACCTGTTGGGGGCGGACTTATTTTTTTTATAAAAAATGAAATTGTGTTGCCAAAATTAATTATATTTTCAAAGTCATTAATGGTCATAATTATTGCCCATAGACGTCATTTAAAACGTGCAGCTTGTTTATTTTGAAATGAAAAAAAGCGTAGGAAGAAAAAAAACTAAAAGTTTATCAAGGTATGAAATTGTTCAAAGCAACCAACTACGCAAAGGCTCACATCACAATCTTTACACATATAACGTGAATTTGTTCTCTTTTTAGGTCTTCTATTAGTATGTGCATATACAACACATTGTTTCTGAGGACTTTTTCTTTCCGTTGTTTGAGGTATGAGAGAAGGAAAATGTCGAGTAGGGAGCCGAGTTGGTTAATAGTCGTGTACAGGACGCCCAATTGTAGGTTTTGGAATATGATAGGTTTGTAAAATTTCACGTATAAGTTGCAAACGAAAACTCTAATAATTCAGGTCTCTTTCCAGTTTCCGTTTTGTAAAGCAAATATGAGTTGAGGACTGATAAATCAAGCATATGAAAAAAATAATTTTCTATACCATTTGAGCGATTTTCTTGCACATTCAGCAAAACTAGTTTGTAGGGAAACTTTGTCAATTGCCCCTCTGTTAGAATTATAGTCAATTATCGAAATTGGTTTTTGAATCGGTTGTTTAGTTTTTGGATCGTTTTTGCCAGTAAATCCCATATGAGGTTGATGGATAGTAGATAGCATTATAACTTCTCTTTTATCATACCATTTTAGTGCCAGCATGTTGTTTGTGCTTTTATAAACTTGTTGACCCTTCCTAATTTTTTCTTCGAACTTAGGTAAATCCACTCTATTTACTGTTACAGGACCACATGCGCCAGTTGATCATGCATGCAATGTTTCAAAAAGTGTAGGACTTGTGAACCAACTATCTGAGAATAAACTATGACCTTTATCTAAGTATGGCTGCATCAAAGTCATAACAATTGAACCAGAAACTCCAACATCTCGATATTTCATCATGTCAGTAGTGGTTTCTGTGTAAATCATGAAATCTAAAATCATTCGTGTGCAAACATCAAAGATGAAGTATATTTTGATTCCGAATCTGCTCCTTTTAGATGGAATGTATTGTTTGAAACTAAGTCGACCTTTCTAGAACATCACGCTTTCATCAATACACAAATTTTGATAAGGAACTAAAATTTTTCTGAATCTTACACGTAAATAAGTAATTATCGGCTTGATTTTATATAGTTTATCATCAGATGGTTGATATTCGTTGCCATCGAAGTGTAAAAATCGTAGAAGTAAAAGAAATCTGTCCCTACTGATGATATCTGCAAACATAAGGGTGTGGGTGTGGGTATGGGTGTGGGTGGATGTAGGTGTGGGGTATGGGTGTGGGTGGGGTGTGGGTGTGTGCGTGTGGGTGTGGATGTGGGGTGTGGGTGTGGGTCGGTGTGGGTGGGTGTGGGTCGGTGTGGGTGGGTGTGGGTGTAGATGTGGGTGTGGGTGTGGATGTGGGTGTGGGTATCGTATTACTGTATTCTTAGTCACAGCCACACTCTATGTACTACTATTGTTTTATGCAAGGTAAATCAAGTGATTTATAACACTCATGCTGAAAAATTAGAGACTCTAAATGGTAGAAAAAAAATATTTATTCTCATTAAATAATACTTACCACTCATTGAGATGATCAAATGAACTGAATAAGAGAGAAAAATATTTTTATTTTTTTATATAATAATAGTTATTGTTGAAATTTATTGGAACATTGCCGATTAATCGAAATTTATTGTAATATCCCACAGATCAGGGTGTGGGTGTGAGTGTGGATTTATATACGAGTATGGAGCATTGCTGTGCGTTTGGATACTGGTTTTACTGTGGCTGAAGCATGCATGTTCTCATATTTCAAACTTACAACGACATACCAACGGTCACACCCATAACATCTGGTTTATACTTTACATAGTGTGGTAGTTGTATGTCAGAAGAAAAAGACGAATTTAGCTTACAGGAAGTTAAAGATGCTTATCTACATCATACAAAAGGATACTGGTTGAAAACTAATAATCATTTCATCTGGCTAGCCTACAACTATAACAGATCGAATTATAATAGTTTGGAAAAACAATCTGGAATTATTGCATTGTACAGATTTAAATTTGATAGAAGATTATACAATGGAAGTTCAAGTGAAATTGAAGGTGGTAATCAAAATCCCAGTGATAGCTTCATAGAAGCGAATGTAAAAGTTGTACTTAAAATTCTGATTTATTTATTAGGTAATTTTTCAATCACTTCGTACATCTACTAAATAAATTTACTCTTGCTCTGACACTTCTTTGTTTGAGCTAACTAATCAGTTCTACTTTAGTTCAGGATATGACTTATATGCAGAGGCATATCCAAGATGGAAAAGATAACTTGTCAATTTGCTCAATGCGTAGAAAAAGTTCGTCCATACGAACTTTCCTAACACTAGACTTTGCTTAAAGCGGATTTCGACTAGAACTTTTTCTCTCGAAGTAATAACGCGACTGTTGAGATTGTTCTCTATTATCGATTCCTGCTGCAGTATAAACAATAGTGAATTATAATTCATGTCAATAAACAAAGTCGATTATATTACAGAGGGTGAGGGTGGATGAGTTTTTTCTACTGAATAGTCTCCTAGCTGCCATGATACTAACGTTTTGTCCTTGCTAAAGGTCTCAATAGATGGCTTGAGATAAAGATAATAGTTGATGTATCTTTTCATTTTTGTGCCTAGTTCTTATCTTGATATATTTCAGGAAAGAAAAATATAAAAGAAAGTCGAATTGATATCATTTCTTTCTTTTTGGTTAAAAACTTGTTGTTAACTTTGCCAAATGAAGTCTGATACTACAGAAACAGCTTTTATACTACCAATAAATGAAGCAAGACCAACTTATGTATTATATCCACGTCGATTTTATATTTTATTTATTTTTTCATTTCTTGCTTTTAATCAATGTCTTATGTGGTTAACATTTTCACCAATTGCAAGAAGTACAGAAATTTATTATCATATTGGTGAATCTACTGTTGATCTTCTTCTTAATTGGGGATCGATTATTTTTATTCCATGTTTACCATTAACTTATATACTATTGAACAGACGGCATGGCCTTCGACACTGTGTTATATTGCTTGCAATCGGTAATTTTATCGCAGCACTCGTTCGCGTTATTCCTGTAGTTGTAACAAAACCATCAAGTCCAAATTTTACTTCCATTGCTTTACCATTTTTACATATCGGTCAAATAGTAAATGCTGCTTGTGGTCCACTAGCTTCGGCACCTGTTTCACAACTTTCTTGTCTTTGGTTTGCTCCACATGAACGAACACGTGCAACAACATTTGCTATATGTCTTAGTAATTTTGGTGCAACTGTTGGTTTTGTTATTAGTCCATTTATTGTTTCTTCACCTGATTATGTTCCTCATCTTCTTTATGTTCATTTAGGTCTTGCATTTATTTCTTGTGTATTTGCTCTACTCTATTTTCCTCCACAACCACCAAGTGCACCTTCAGCAGCAGCTGAATTACTTATTCTTCATTCGATTAATAAACAAAATAATAATTCATTGAAAACATTCATGAATGATATTTGGCGATGCTTAACAACACCTTCATTTGTGCTGCTCACAGCAGCTAGTGGTACTCTTTCCGGTACATTTGGTGCATGGACAAGTCTATATGATCTTATTCTCAAACCTGAAAATTATACTGAACAACAAGCAGGGAAATAGAAAAATGTCGATAATAATCGAAATCTGCTTTTTGTTTTTTTAGGATGGTTTGGTTTTGGTTCATCAATAGCTGGAATAATTGGTGGTTTATGTTTAAGTTTTCTTGCTGATAAACGTCGTTTTCAACATTCGTTAAAAGTTCTTATTGTTACTTCATTTGTCGGTTGTTTAATATCGATTGTTTGGTTTCAATTATCTGTTCGTACATTTTTCTATGATAAACCAATTCTTCCATCAACTGCTGTTACTATTGGTTTATCAATTGCATTAGCTGGTCTCTTTTTTGGTGCTGGTTCACCATTGATATATGAAGCTATTGCTGAAATAATGTTTCCTTTGCCAGAATCTTTATCAGCATCAATTCTTGTTCAATGGGTTAATATTACCGCACTTATTCTTTTATTTATTGCACCTAATCGATATAAATTAATGAATTTACTTGTATTAATTGTTATAATTACTTGTATTGTAATGGTATTATTAGCACGATTTTCTTATAAAAGGCGTGACGAAGATGAACGAAAACGACTCCAAAAAGAACAAGATCAAATATTAGGTCATGACTGTTAAGTCCATATAGAAATGGTGTTATTAATCAACCACAATATGGCACATTTTTGTAGAATCGTCCGGAAATGATAAAAATGAGACTTTTTCTATATAATTCGACGTGAAAAAGCCTACTTTACAAATCTACATTCTCAGTTGTTCGATTTAAACAGAGTAATATAAAAAAAAAAAGATTTTTTCTTTCTTCAAACAAAATTAGTGCACACAGCAAACTACTACTATTTGCTGATACTTGTTGAAACAAGTTTATGGTCCGATCTCAGTCATTCTTAGATGGAATAAAATTTCAAGTATAGGATCTTGTAGAACAATGTTCACTCTGCAAAATCTTATATGTCACCAAACAGTAGATTGCAGATTAAGAGAATTTTCCACCCCCCAACATTGGGTCCTGTTTTGCCATGCCTGCAAATGAAGTTCAAAAAAGATTTTTCGCAAGTCAACGAATAAACGAAAGCGGCATAACGGATGGGCAAAATTTTTGCATTCATTTTGCTTTCGCTAGTGCTTCGCAACGAATCATTATTTTAACTTCATTTTTTAGTATTGGAAAGAGCAATATCTGGATTTCCATCACTCTCTAAATATCAATATTTGTTCGTTGTCTACTTTTATAGTTTTTCATCGTGACAACGTAATTAAGTAGACAACGAAAAAATATTACTATTGACAGAGCGATGGAAATATTCCTCAATCATAATGAGTATTATACAGATAGACGGATCGATAATCGATTTTTTCAATGGTGAAAACTCGAGCTCGATACCTCTGGACAAGCCGAAAGTTATCCGAAAAATGGCGAAGATGAAAAGAAAATTAATACAAAACGTTTGCTTCACCCGTTAGACGAAAATTTTCACATGACTACTTTCTCGATTTTCTAAGTCCACCACGAGAAAGTGAAATAGCAGAAGTAAATACAATACAGTTTTCATAAAAATCTAGAGCAGAGAATTCTCCATCAATGTCAAATATATGATATACGCCAATCAAATGTGACGAACATAACCTACACAAATCGATAAAAGTCTGCAACAAAAATATAAGATGACAGTTAGATGAATGAGAAACAATTTATCTTTTAAATTTGTACAAACAAGACAATTTGAGTTGAGAACAAAACAAGAAATATCTGATAAACTTTGAATCTTTTTCACTGAGATTAGTTCCGTTCCTAAAAAACACGAGCCGAACTCATCTCTGGCAGGTATTGATATCGTTGTTAAAACAATGTTGATAAGGTCGCATCGCTTTTGAAAAATTTTTCATGTGCCATTTATAACTAAATCTAGTTAGAAATTAGTACTGCTGAAAAAACATGGACGGATAAAAATTCATTTATACGAACTCTTGTTCGAATTGGTACACTTTTTAATGGTCATACTAGCTTTGATAACAATTGATGTAGCAACCATTGGATTAGATCATGTTCGATGCCGTATTTTAACTACTTCAGAAGAACCTATTCTTTTTACTAAGTAAAATGTAAACATTGGATCAAAATAAGTGCTATTCTATATGTCATATAGAGAGTCATTCAATTTCATGATTTGGTCGATTATATCGCAAGTAAATTATTGAAATTTCCAATAACTTGTGTTCCAAAATCTTTAAAACTACAGTCTATTTAAGTAGAAGTGGTAATGGAGAAAATAGATAAAATTATTATGAAATCAACGTTAAATAGCATATATAATATTGATGGCAAAAAAGTATATAACATGAAAGAAAGAATGGATTCATTATTGGAAATATGTCATGAAAACAAATCAATCTTGAATATGCTATTAATAGATAAAGTTGTCAATGGATTCAATACAGACTATCTGAAGGCGCTTGAATATTTAGAAAAAGCACTAGCTACGAAAAAGAATGCTTTTGTTTTGAAGCCATTATGCCAAGGCTGCCAATTACAAAGGTGTCGAATGAGGGTGTGGGTGTTCACTAAGAGACACTAGCACCCACACCCTTTGAATTTATTTTCCAATTTTACCTAGAAGAACAGCACAAGATCGATGGCCTATAATATTTAGTATAATATTAATCATGATTAAATTATTAATAAATCATTGGAGTTATCGATGGTTTCTGAAATGTGAAATCGGAGTCAGTTATCAAAGAATTTTTCTGTTTTATTTATCTTTAATAACAATATCGTATGTTCTTGAGATTGAAATGATTTTCATTCGGGTTTTAACTCTAGATAAATATATATATATATAGTTCGATTAGGTTTGGTCTGAAACATCAAAATGCAATCAAATGCGCCCTAGTCCTTTTAAAATAAGGTCTTTTTTGTGACGATGTTACAGCAAAATTGATCAAATTTTATTTCACGAATAGCTCACTGTAGAGGATGGAACAAAAGTTTATTATTTTGCCAAAAGACTGGTCGTAATTGAGAGTTTACAAAATATTTGAAAGGGGAGGGAGGAGTTCGGAACTCAACGTCAAGGTGTACAGTTAGGCTCAAAATAGGATACAAAAAAACTGTAATAAACAATATACCGGTTAGTACTAAAAGTACACACTTTTAGAGGTTCAAGAAAGTCATTTTTTAGAATAATGAGATATATTTTTCTACACTTTCAAATGTGCTCTATAACTTAGCATAAACATTTATTTAGAATTTTCAAATAGCGCGTCACATGGACAAGCCGACATATTCTCATGCAGTCGAAACTGCTCTATGAAACCTAATTAACAAAGTCGAAAGGTGTCGTAACTGCTTGACGCACCTCTCACTCTCACCCTCAAATTCAATTCTGTTAAATTTATTTCATGAATTGAGTGGCATAAATCTGATGTATACCGTCAAAAATAATAATTTTATACAATTAATAAATCTCCATTAAAAAATAATGTTCTTATGATTGATAAATTTATTGAATAATTTCAGTACAACATCAAAAGCTTTGACAAAATTAATTCATTTCTCTTTGAATATCCTTAGTTTTTCTTTTCTTGATATATGTTAAATATTTTGTTGAAGAGCTTCGGGTTTAATTCGATTTTTTTTATGTTCATAAAGTTTAGCAAAAATAATTGCTAAACAACGAGTTATAAGAACTAATCCACCATAAAGAGAAATGAGAAATATTATTGTTTGAGTTACATCATGAGTTTTAATATAAGAATATGAACATGATAATGGTTGACATTGACTAAAATAATTTTCATATGATAAATTACTTTTATACTCTTCAATCATTAAATTATTTAAAATTGATTCAATTGTTGAATTTAAATTAAATTGACTTTTTTCCAACGTTGACATATTTAATCTTGTAAAATTTCCATTTGAATCAATACAATTTTGATCATAAAAACGGTAAAGTTTTCTTTGAAGAATAGATTTCAGTGGATAACAACCACTCATCATACCTCCTGATGATTGAGTACATTTAAATGATAATCCACAATTACATTCACCATAACTTACAGGTACTGTATATGCCTGTAAATAAGGAGAAAATGCACTTTGAGGAACATATTCCCAATTAGTCATTAATCCACTCATAATCATATTCAAACCAATTATTTCACGAATTAAATTAAAAAGATTAATAAATGATTTAGATGCAGTTAATTGAAGTCGATTTAGAATTATTTCGATTTCTTCAATTAAAAGATTTTCAGATAAAAGCTGAGAATTAATAAAATAACTTGTCAATAAATGCGAAAGGATATGATTTACTTTTTTTTGTCTAAGTTTACAAAGTGAAGAAAGTAAAAGAAATTGTCCAGGAGCTGAATAACGATAATCATCGAATGAAAATCGACGAGAAAGATTACCTTCACCATAAATATAATGAATCCATTCATCAGAAATAAACTGACTTGAACATGAATCATGAAAATGAAGTTCAATATAAAGAAATGTTTCATATCGAATAGGTATTTGTGAACAAGAACATTAAAGGGAATAAAAATAATCTTTTAATAAATCTTTATAATTTGAAAGTGATGGTTTTATTATTTGAAGAGTAACTGATTTTGGTTTATAAGCAGAAAATAGAAATATTAAGTATAAGACTAGTACAAGAAAAATCAAATGAAGTCGATTAATATACACTGTTGAGTATTACAAACAAATAAGCTTTTTATCATTGTTATAAATCCACTAAAAGAATTATTATTAATTATACTTTCAATAACTCGAAGAATAATTAAAGTAAGTAGTTTTAATTCCAAAGGTAAACCACCAAAAATACCAAGAATTGGGGTATGGGTGTGGGTGTGGGTGTGGGTGTGTTTGAGGGTGTGGGTGTGGGTCTGTGGGTGTGGATGTGGGTGTGTTTGAGGGTGTGGATGTGGGTGTCGGTGTGGAGATTCTCGTCATCTACACGGACATCCATACGGACACCCACATCCACGCCTGATTTTAAACTGTGCCACTTTAATCGATTTTAATTTCGTAATCCAAAAAACGCTTTTTTTCTCGAGATTTAGTCGAGAAATTGATATTTTTGATGATTTGTTTTGGACTCCTCAGCCCGACAAATAGTAGCCATATCACTGGAACAATCTTTGGCATACACCCTATGCCTTGCGGGACAATGCTAGTCAGGACTTAGTGACACTCTACAATATCGGTTAAAATCAATTACGTTCGATTTTAATCGCTTATAATCCAAATTACCAATTTGATTATTGTGAAACACAATCAACGTTTAAATCAATTTAAATCATTATCTACTTCCGCCAGCCGTTGAAATGCCATTCGAGTCATCCATTCAACACATTCTCCATCACCACATGAGTACCTCTGTACAGACTCAGATGTTCATTATATTCGATTGTGTTCGGTATGAACGGGCAGTGATCTCCATAATTACGAGAATATCAGTTCAATCCATACAATGTCGATCACCTCTCAAAATAATTGACATAGTGAAGAGAGTCTGGACGATTCGACATTTACTCATGATCAAACCAGAATTCCTCAGCAATATACATTCCATTGATGCAACGAAATTCTTCATCTTCACATTCATTGAATTCTAACTAGACACAATTTTCTTCATCGATCCCATTCGAACATCCCTGCACACCATCTCAAATCTCCCTTCAATCAACACACAAAGGACTTGAATTACAAGATAATGTCTGATAGCAGAGAATGTCACCGTATCTCTGTAGATCCCATGAATCACCAATCTCCTTTTGATGAAACTGAGCTCTGATCGCTTCACTAAAATTGATTTTACAGTGGACCAACTGATATTGACAATACTTGCCGAATATGTCCAACTGTGTGCGTTGGCAGATCAATTGATCATCGTTTTCTTTAATTAGTGATCGATTCTAGTAAATACTTGCATAAAGATCGAGCATTTTTACACTTGAACTCCACTTGAGAACTTCATTCGTTTCAACACGTTCATCGAGATGATCAAGAAAAGATTTCTTCACTCCTTCATTTCTACATTGTGTTGGTTGCCGAATTAGTGCGACATTTTCCTCTGGACTGGTGCCCTACAGGTTACGAGAGTCACAGGGTAGGGCTAGGTTACAAGAATTTTTACAGGGCAGGTTACAGGTTGCTGGGGTCATAACCGGCCAACTTGTGATAGTGATAGTAATGTCGACATGCGTAGAAGATTTCAAGACTATGAGATAAGATTTTGCATTAGATTAAATCATATACAAATGTTTTCGACATGTAATGCGATGATCTTCTTGTTCTTCGTCGAAAATGATAAAATGGCAGCTAGATTAGTTAGAAAAAACCTTACATCAGACTATAAAAGAAAATTCTTGCAATTACACTACAGGGCAGGTTACAGGTTACGAAAATGTTGTGCCCTGCAGGCCACTACTCTGGGCATTGACAACAGGGAATTTCTTCTCCATACATGTATGTCTAATAAAAAATATCCTCACCATGGATCCTTTATAAGAGACCCTGATGTGTGACGCAGGTGAATCTAAACTCTATTTCAAAGAGGGCCATGCCTACAAAGTTCTACCAATCTTGATAGTTTGAAGTCATTTGATGTTTGTTTGCGGTTTTATGGCTGAGTTTTCATGAAAATATACATATTTAAAATCGCAAACAAAAATTTATCCCGATTGGGATCTGGAAAAATGTCGGTTTTCTCGCGAAACCTCTCATAAATATCTATCCAACCAAGAAAATGGCATGAAGAGACTATTCGTCACTAGTACAACATGCTGTAATTTCATCTCGGCGGCAAAAACTTTTGGCAATCCTTCTCATACGACGAACTTCAGCATCGAACAAACGTTTTGTTAGATTATTTTTCTTCTAGTAAAAAAAAGACAATGACAAAGTTCAACAGTTTTCATCCACTTATTTTCTCTGGAGCTAAGTACATTATTGCATTGAAAAGTCGATGACAACTCTGCCGCTAATTTTATTGTTGATCATATCATCGAAGATTTGATTAATTTCTTCCAACTTGCGCTTTTCTACTTTGCAGATAATCTTACGTAATTTGGCCAATTCCAATGCTTCTTGTAAGTCTTTACGTGTGCCAACAGTGGAACCAATCAGTTGGATTCCACGCAAAATACAATCAATGGCGGATATAGACATTTTCCCGGCGGGCAACCCAATACCCACGATACGACCGCCACGTTTCACCGATTTGAATGCTTCCTCATAGGCTTGAATCAAAGGAACAGCAACGATTGTTGCTTGAACACCTCCCACTTTTTGTCGAACCCATTTGCCATGCTGATCACTTGGACCATCATAAACTAAACAATCAAATAAAAATAGAAATTCGATTTCTGATAAAGCTATTGTGAACTGCATGGATCCTTCAATATTGAAAACTTCAGAATTCATTCAATTCTTTTATGCTGGTGATTGAATCTATTTGAAGTAAAAAGGCTATTTGTTGAGTAAAGGCAGTTCGAAGAGATCAATGCATGTTTCGAACCCCAAATCGTATATTCTAGCTAGTGAACAAGTTCGTTACAATTCTAGTTCATACTTGCCTTCTTCAGCACCCATCGATTTGGACAATTCCACAGCAGCCTAAAAAAATTGGCAACAATGAGTTTATAGGTACTGAATTGCATTGCAAAACTCCTCGACTCATAGGACATTAATGTCTAGGTTTTTAATATGCATTCTAAATCCTACTTTGTCATTTGGAGCCACAACAGTCAACACTCGCATTCCCATAGCCACAGCATATCTCACAGCGACAGATCCTAAACGACAATCGCACGCAATCTCATTGTTCTCAGTAAATGAAATGGCATATGTATTTTACCAAGGCCACCTACACCCACAATCGACACCCATTCACCAGCTCGAACCTTAGACACTTTTAGAGCTTTGTATGTAGTGACACCCGCACAATAAAGTGGTGCGGACGTATATGGATCCATGCCATCAGGAAGCTTAACAGCAAAATCAGCATCCATCAGAACATATTCCGCAAAACAGCCATCCATTGAGAAACCAGAATTTTGCTGCTGTTTACAAAGTGTTTCTCGTCCTGTCAGACAATATTCACAATGTAGACAGGTTTTGTGTATCCATTGCACACCGATAATATCTCCTTTTTTCAGGTGATCACGAACATTCGAGCCCAGCTCGACGATCTCACCAATTCCTTCATGACCCAAGATTCGAGGTAACCGAGGTCGTCCAGGAAAATCTTAAAAAAACATGAACACTAGAATATAATTTGCAGTCAACAGAACGATGATCATACCTCCTTTCGCTATGTGCAAATCCGAGTGACATACACCACAAGCAATATTCTTAACCAAAACATCATTGGGCCCTGGTTTAGGAGTCTCAACTTCTTTAATTTTCAGAGGTTCCGAGAAACTTGTCAACACAGCAGCTTTCATCGTCTGAGACACTGTGTGAAAGAGCTTGCCAGAGCAGCTCTTAATAAGGCTAAAATATGGAACTCACATAAACATAGGCTACTAAAAAAGTACAACAAAAGCCCTGAATATCAAAATCATCATTGCACTCCGCGGAAGAAGCGAATTCTCTGAATGAGTTCGATTCGCTCGTTCCTTGAGAGAGACCACAACTGAGAATAGTAAATCAATGTTCAACTGATATTATTTTAAAATGAACAGTATCTGCAAGGATCTGCAACGAAATACGATGATAGCATACCGCTGATATTGGCATTGAATATAGTGATAGCATTAGTGTTCCGAACAAGCAAGTCACTCAAAGAGTCAAACATTCATTCTTCGTGTCTATTCAACTACGCAATGTTGCACAAGTAAGGGAAAACTGAGAGTCCGAGTATTTCAAAGGTACGCAGAGAGATTGACCTACATATGGATTGTCTGAAGGACAGATAGAATTGGAGACGTACACGACAGAGCAGATGAAGCATATACTATGGACAATTGATAAACCTTTCCCAATGGTTCGAGTCAATACTGATTGTCGGAATATACGACCTACATTCTCATGCATCAAATATATGCAAATTCTCTCAAACCTCGTGTTCCCTTCTGTGTTGAATATTCAGGATCATGATGACGTAGTCGTCGATCGTCACTCATGCCTTTTGGATATCCCGATAGGTCTGTAAATATCTGTGAAAATAGTGAAATAACAGTTGCAATAGAAATCCGATAGAATACAATAGGATTTCTGTCTGCGTTAAATATAGTGTGGTGCCTGATCATCCTGAATTCGATACGATCCGCTTTGTGTGAGTACATGAAAAAAATCCTAACTGAGCAAATAGTTTAGAAATCAAGCTAATAAATGCCTGATTATGATGTGAAAAGCGATGGTTATGTTTTCATTGTAGACGTAGACGCACGTAAACGACATGTTTACAACCCTAAACAATCGTTGTCCCACTTGGCTGTAGTATTGGTCATCAATATTTTTCTCGTTCCCTTCAAAAAGTTCGGATGCAGCAAGATCTTGTGCACATTTTCTTTCATTCTGCACATGAGCGCATCACATGTTATCTTGACCTATTTATTCTTTTTTTTTATGCCTAATATCAGATCAGCCCGAGACCATGTCCTCTCATTTGCGAACATAAAATCGAAATTAAAAATCTCTTAAATTAAATTTCAGTTGTTTTTTAAATTTAATTTATTGAAATTTAAAATACTTAGGGTGTACCAAAAGTTCTGATCATCATATTTAAAAGACTTTTTCGATAAGGTTTCCTATTCAAAAATGAGAAACCAAATACACCATGTTGTAGAGTTTTTCGAGATGCATCGAGTAGTATATAGTAAATTCTATTTTCATAAGACTCTGAAAGAATTAGAATCAATTTACTGATAGACGGCTACATATCCACATGCATCCATACTAGCACCTATACTCAACAATGATAAATTAATGAATATTGTTGTCCTTGCTATTAATCAAAAATATTTGTAAAATGCCTTTTCTCACATATGACTTTGTAGAACTTTTAAAGGACTACAATCTCATATGCGTAGCATCTCCGATCATCTTGTGGATGTGAATATGGATGGATGCATGTGTGAATGTGTAGTCGCCTATCAGTAAATTGATTCTAATTCTTTCAGAGTCTTATGAAAATAGAATTTACTATATACCATTAGATGCATCTCGAAAAACTCTACAACATAGTATACTTGGTTTCTCATTTTTGAATAGGACGCCTTATCGAAAGAGTCTTTTAAACATGGTGATCAGAACTTTTGGTACACCGTAAGTAATCTTAGGTCTTAAATTTTCGGTTTTGAAATTTCAAAAAAATTTACTGATAACAATTTTAAAACAAATTATAATTTCAATTATATTTTTAAACTGGTTGAAATTTATAGAGTTCGCTAAAGATTGAGTTTCATTATTTCAATTTAATGAGCTTTAATTTGTAGAGTGCGCCAAAATATAGTAGTCCTTTTTTTTATTTTTAATTGACTGCGATTTATTGACTTTGTCAGACATAATTGTTACTATTAATGTCATCAGCGGTTTTTGATTTTGAACAGACTATATAATTATGATAGTAAATTGGAATCGAACATTAAAAGGAGATCACTGATTGAGGTGCAAAAGCATTTATAGACAAAAATCATAAATACAAAACATGATGTTCTAAAAAAGACGGCTCAGAAATATAGATGTTAATGAGCGTCTTCTCCTGACGAACACAGTTCGATTCGTTCGCACTACAGTCAGAGCAAATATCAAATTATCACAACAAGTTATGATACAATCTCCTTAAAAACTCGCTTTGTCTTGAACTGAAATCGTTCTTAGTGCAGTCAAAATCGACGACCCTTGCTCGTGCACTATGAGTTTTAGTTTATCCATAACAACAGAAAAAAAACTGCTAGTACATTCTATTTTTGACTTCCATTAAAATTCTTGGAAGCTAGATTCAAAGGAAACTTTTAATTCAACAAAAACCTAACGTCCTCTAAAAATTACAGCAATGATACTAAATTTAAAAAATTTCTCTGATCAAAAACTTGCGCCCTCTACAAATTGCAGTAACTATCTATGGGCACCGTTTAAGGGAAAATATAAGCACCATTATAGAGGTACACATGTTTAATCTGATTGGTTACATGACTTGGAACACATCGTGTTGTATTATATTACTTATTAAAATATGTCAATAATTGAAAAAAAATAATTTAGTACAGAATTTTTTTATAAATTTAAGTAGATGCAGATTGTCATCGAGATATTCCATTTTGCCAAAATTTCGGATTATATTATGAGACAAGTCGACTTACCCTATAGCATAAGTGAAAATAATAAGTGAACCAGTATCAATGTCTCAATTGAAAATATTGACTAATCCTATAGGGTAAGTCGACTTGTCTCATAGGATAAGGCGCTTCTTTGAACTGAAGCATTTTTACTCAGTTAGGTATTATTTCGACTTATCCTATGAGATAACTCGACTTGTCCTATGAGATAAGTCGCATCGTAGGTTTTGGCAACTTATTAATATTTCGAGTTATCTCATGAGACAAGTCGACTTATCTCATAGCATGACTTGAATTCGGCACTAAACAAATATCTCAATCAAAATATAGGAGTAAATTGGTAGCATAAGTTGAACATTTAAATATGATCTTAAAAATCTCAAAAATGAATATATTATGATAAAAATAGAAGTAATAATACATAATTTTATTTTTCAAAAGTCCATATATTCTATTTATGGCTAGATTTTTGTGCTAAATCGGTCGCCATTAAATGATTCCATGTGCCTCTATAATGGTGCTTATATTTTCCCTTAAACGGTTGTGTCCCTTAAACGGTGCCCACAACTATCTGAGTCTTAAAAAGTTTTTATTGCGAAAAAAACTAACGACCTCTATAAATTGCAGCAGGTTTCGTAAAAAAAATAAATTTTTATAAAAATCTTTTAAAACAATTTACTTTCAATATTCGTTCACAGTAATCGAGTTTTTAAAAGTTAAATATAAATTTTAATCGTTTTACAAAAATTGATAAGATTATCAAATTTAAATGAAAGGAAATTTTAAAAATTTTAATTTACTTAAAATTTATTTTCTTTATGTTCGCAAATGAGAGGTAGCCGCACGAGACTGCATAGTAGAATATCAGTATTGCACACTAAAATAAAATGTGTCGCATGTGTCGCAACGAACACTTCGTGTCGTACTTTGTGTCGCATTTTTTATATCTCGCATCTCTTACGTTCTGTGCTGGATGACGTTATATACCCAGCGCAGAACGTAAGAGATGCGAGATATAAAAAATGCGATACAAAGTACGACACGAGGTGGTCGCTGCAACACATTTTATTTTAGTGTTTGCAAATACTTCAGAAAAAATCCGAATCAATTTATAATGACATTTGGTTACGTGATTCGACAAAACCAAAACCGCAGAGATATTTCATCACGAATTGATTATACTGATCTATTTTTGAGTAGTTAAGTTAGGCGCTACTTACGATGACGAGCCTCGTGTTAAAAGCATCTGAAAGAAAATGTGACTGTGCATCGAATGAGAGGAAAGAAAAGAACACAAGCATGTATCAATGTCTTCTTTCCTCTGTTTGTATCGTTCTGTTTTCATGATAGTATTGGGTTGTAGAGTCGGGCGGGGTAAATGCACACAAATTTTTGTGAAGCTGGAAAGAATAACTGATATCTTTTTCATTTTACAAGATATCGAAAACTTTTTCTCACCACCACGATAGAGAAATGATTTCTCTACAATTCTATGTTTTCAGATTTTAAAATTTCGCGGCGATACGAACTTACACTACTTTTCCCCGAAGCCCTCAGAGTATTTTACATTCAACTTACGTCGGGCAAATGTAAACTTCGTCTGTCTTCGTTGGGATCAATGTAAACTCCCAGCCATTTTCTATGGAACTAGTGAAGCTCAATTTCCCAGGAGATTGTGCGTTATATTTCGATCAAAATAACATCACTAGATAGCCCATTCTTTTCTCTACAATCGTGCACAGTGGGGAGCCAGGCAGATATATATGCGAAAATATTCTTGTCCACAATCTAACCGTTGGCGTAGATACATGCATATATGATATATCATTTCCTAAAATAGCGATTCTCAAAGTTTTATAGAGCCCAAGAAAAGAGCCTGCCAATGCTTGGGCTCAGAAATCAGCACAAATAAAGAAAGTCAAGTTGCTCGACAATCTAACACAATATTCCACAAGCAAACAATATTGCAAAAAAACTTGTTCACCTATGGACTTTGTGGTAAAAAAAATTATCGTAATCCAATTTAAAATAAAGTAGAAAACAAAGAGTCTCTATGCAGAAAATCTACCAGAAAACCTACCGTTTCGTATATTAAAACCCCTACAAACGGATCGCGTTTGATCAAGCGCGCATTTTTACCACATATACATATATATGTGTCCTAATTACTGTAGTAGCACCAACCCATGAAACCTTTCCTAGGCTATTTTAGATAATGCCCCAAAACCCGAGGTCTTTGGTAGGAAATCCAGTTTTTGGCACCCGTGTTACACTTTGAATAAAAATCAAGATGATATTCGGAATGAGCTCGGCAAGTTGCATCGAACCATATATACTCAATAGTTTTTCAAGAAATTTGCGGCTCACTTTTACCGGTAAACCGGGTCCAAAGCCATACCGTTCCGTATATTCTAAACGATACAAAGGGATAACGTCAAATCGAGCGCGTATTTTTACCAGATGTTCCCACATATGTAGGGTGTGGGTGTGGGTGTGGGTGTGGGTGTGGGTGTTGGTGGGTGTGAGCGTGCGGATGTGGATGTGGGGTGTGGGTGTGGGTGTGGGGCAGTGTTGCCACCTTTTGAAGTCCAAAAAGCAGAAAATGACAGAAATTTTATTACTGAAAAACAGAAAAAAAGCAGAAAGCATATTTTTTGTGATGTAAACGATTTTAAAACTTTGTTCCAGTGTACTAATGAAGAATTTTCATATCAAATTTTGATCTCTCTTGTACAGAATCATGAAAAATAGTCAATCCATAAAGAAATAGGATTGCACAAGGTCAAGAAATACAACTACTTAATTGACAAATAGAATTATTAGATACATTTTCTATTGACTAC